GGCAAGTTTTCTTCTAGCCAAATAGTATGATCGTAAAACATTTTGGCTTTTTTACTTTCATTTTATTTTTTTGTAAATCATTTTATATTCGTAACAACATTTCTCATTTTTTGGGTAATGCAGCTTCTATTATGTTTTGATATTAGTTTGACTCGGTAGAATTTGTTATCAGTTATGGTAAAGCAGTAAACTTTGCTCTTCATTCATCAGTCTACTCATTCGTCCATTCATTCACTGAGTAATTCCACTTATTCGCTGATTTCATAATGCGCTTTCATTCTTTTGGTTTACGCATTCATCCATATTTCTCTTAGGCTGGCAGCAACCGAGTCTTGCACAACAGTTTACCCAACGGTTCTTTGTTGCTTCGCAGTGGGTACCATGCAGCACGACAAAAAGTGAACTGAAAGCCTTCTGTACGATTCTGTTTGGCTATATATGTGAATGACTGACATCGTGACTGTTAATGTTAGTCATAGAGCGGATGGGAATTGAATAGAGAAGTGAATGAATGAATTGGTATGCGAGTAAATGAACGAATCAGTGAATGAATAACTGAATGGGTGAGTCATTGAAAGTCGTTGCTTGCTTTAATCGTTCTCTTGTTGGTGCTCGATAACTCTACCAGAATTACTCGGTCTGCCTTAACGAATCTAACGTAGTTCTACCAGTCTTCTGTCATTAATCTTGCGGTGGAAGCATACTCTCTTAATTGCTCACCAATTGGCAGAGATATCGCCTTCATTTTCTTTCCCTTATCGTTTTGTTAACAGTTATAGCTATAAATCAGCAGGCCTTCATTTTCATTCATGAAAAGCCCGCTGCCACTTTTGGGATGGTTCATACCTCAGGCTATCCTTCCAATGGTCTTGTCCGCTGCAAACGAACAAGCTGCAGGGTCTATATTCTAAGGCGCGGCAATGCCTAGACTAAAATAGAATTACCATCTGTTCCGCTTTCTGTCCTTGAACTGTCATCCCTGTGACATTGGCAAAGAGCGTGTCTGGAGACTCTCCATGTAACATCCCAATCGTACGATCAGATCATCGCAGTTGTAATCTCCTCAGCAGAAACGGTTCATTACCAAGGGTATTATCTCGAGCTTAAGGAAAATGTTCAGAACGGATGTTTCGAGCATTGTCTAACCTCATGACGCTGCTAGCCCTTTGCGGTTGTCGGAAATCCGAAGCAACGCTTCTTTAGATATGTTTGTGGCAGCAGAATTTAGTCGCATTATGCATGTATGAGGTCACTACCGGATCGTCTGAACCCTGTGTGACATCCACATAGTTAAAGATATCCGAACATAGTGCTTGTATTCAGAAACTTGTGCAAGGGCTCAGGGTGGCAAATTTTGTTCATGTCCGGTACTTTGTCTGTAAAGAGTTGATATGAACTCGAAAACAAAACGTTGCTTATACTTTATTAACTGACGAACAGTTTTGTTTGAAAGAGAAACACTCATAATATTTAATGTAATAGGATTGGTGCTGCTTTTAGCATTATCTGACATTTTAAAAATCTGAAAGTAGCGATATTTTCTGTGCATGCTTTCAGGCAACTCCAGACACTATAGTCACCTGTTGAAAAGCAAGAGAAGAAGATTGAGTCATTCATAGTGCCGAAAATGTTCTCTAAAAAGGAGTTGAACATTACAAAGTTAGTGTATAAATAATGTGAAATCCTTCTTGTCTTTCAGGGAGACGTTCCTTTTATTTATGGTACAGAGTAGAGTATTTCGGCTCACTTACATACTGCAAACGCAGCCAATGACTGATCCTTCTTCGTAGTTAATGGAGAGCACATTTGCCTAGTCTCGATGTCCACACTCGTCTTTCTGGCGCGAGTTGTCGTCGCAACTTTCCATGTCGCCCTTTAGCTCATCATCTCCTTTGAACCGAGGTCTTACATTTGGACTATTATAGCTCCCTCCAATACCAGTACGTCACTGCTGAAGTCCATGAATCATCCGTTCTGCGAGACTGTCTATCGCAGCCTCACTCCAGCTGCACCCGGCCGACTGGGACTATAGATTTTTGTGCTTTCTACTTCATGATATCTTAGGAAATGGTTTTGGCTGCTGTACACGCCTGACGTGCATCTTGAACAAAACTTGCTTTCTACCTTCACCCAAATTGGATATGGTAACAACTGATGACACTGTCAAGCTTGATTAGTCAGAGTATTTCTGTGGGCTCAGGCGCACCCTCTTCTCCGATGGTTTCTCCTAGGCACCGCTAAGCTGTTCCTCATTTCATGGAGGAACGGATATATAGTCACTCAGTTTCCATGACGGCTTATCCTTTCTAGTCACGGAGCCAGATTGGTCAGACAGTGGCTCCAAAGTTACGGATGCTGTGCCAGAGTTTGAACTTCAGTAAAAAATAACCTGGGTCGGTAGCTGAGTCCTTGGATAAACTTGCTTAAGGTTATTGATTTCTTGGCTCTCCATGGGGTCTCCAACCGGCTGTATGTCATTCGTTTCGGAAGGCATTCGCAAAACATGCACAAGTATTGCAGCTGTGACCCTTCGACCTGCAGAAGCTGCGGCTGTACACCAATGCTCTTTCGGATATCGGTACTGTGGAAAATGTTGAAACGCCTGAGACCAGCGATTAGTCTCAGAAAGCCAATTTAAGCTGCTTGTACCAGGGATGGAAGTTTTTCGGTTATGGCCAACGGTTTAGGACTATAAGTGAGTATCGTGATGAAGATGGACTTAAGCACAGGGAGCTCAGTTATCCGACTCAGCTCTGCTTTAGTCACAAACGTCGGTTCACGCTTAGTACCGCGGGCTATTCCAATTGTCCGATCGATGTCTTCCTCCCATTTTCCATCACTAGTAAAGGTGACCCCGAGGTACATGCACTTCTGCGTCTGTTCCACTGCTTCTCCATTTATCTGAAGAGAGCAAATGACATGAGAAAGAGAAATCACTAGGCTTTTCGTTTTGACACGTTCATACCCTTGCCTGCTTCGTTGCACATGGCGGTGAACTTTTTCAGAGAATACTCAAGATCAGTTTGAGAAGATGCAAACAAAGCAAGGTTGTCTGCAAATACCAGCCTTCTCGTCTGCTCATCTTCTATGTTGGCACAGTCATTGCCTTTATCCGTAGGCGTATATAATAAAAACGTAGCATACAATTTTGAGATATTCAGGCCTGTGCTAAATGCAGTGTGCTTATGTGAAGTTATTTCATTGAATTGGCATGCATCTTCAGTAATGGCATACAGTAAGTTCATGGAAGTTCGTCGGTACGCCGTCAGTTGTTTCGACTCTGTTTCCTTCATAGTTAACTTTTGTTTCTGATTTCGAGTTGAGGTATCCTGCTGTTTTCTTTGCTTGGCATAAGACCTTGTTTTTGTTTACAGGGCTGAGCGCTGTTAACGTCGAGGTTGTTTGCCGGAAGACGGTTAGGCGGCTCGGTTGACGCTGCGGTTCGAAGATGACGTTCGACGACTTGCTAGTCCGCTATTTGGGCGGTTTTGGACTGTACCAACGGATCCAGTATCTGCTCGTGTGCGTTCCAATTATCTTGACGGCGATGCACGCGCTTTCCTGGTCGTTTACCGCGGAAAACGTGCCCCATAGGTTCGTGCGTTTTCGATGTTTCGTTTCGCTTTCGGTTGACATTATGACTGGCCACGTGTAAGTACGATTCGACCATTTAAGGTGTAAGTACGTCGGGGAGAACGACTCTTCAGTGTACAGTGATGCCTCGCTTTATATTGGCAACTTTACTGACACATGCAGTCCGTCATGCTGTAGACCGGCGGCGGTCAACACGACTCATTCGCCTGCGTCGACGGAGGTAGTATTCGAAAGCTGTGTCGATGGCTACAAGTTCAACAGCACGTTTCAAAGCGCTGTTATTAAGGTGCTAATTTATTGCCTTGCTTGTTTTATGTTATAATGTTTACTGTGCATTGCTTAAATTCAAAACTGAGTAAGAGAATGGCATTCATCAGGTGCGGTGCTGGATGTCAGCAAACTAAGAAAATATACGAATGAAAGTTTATGGATACACAGTAAAAGCAGGCGAAGAATGTGCAAGAATTCTGTGCGGTTTAGTCTCTAGTATATGACTTCGACAAAGGACTTAAATAACGGATATGCCCTCTGCGCTCTACGACGCCAAGGGAAGAAGCACCAGTTACATGGTTCGCCTGAGGATAACCATATGTCAGGAGTTATGGTCTTGGTTTTACTGAACGAGAATGGCCCTTTTGTCGTCTGAAAACATGCGGAGATGGTTACGATAGTCCGACGATTAGCTATTGATGGTGGTAAAAAGGGCAGAACAGGCAAGTTTCGGCTTGCGTTCACGGCACGCTCTTAAACGAAGGCAAGTAAGGTGAAAGGAAAGAATCCGCCACGTGAAGTACCCTCCATTTAGCATCCAGCAGAAACAACCTGCTATGCCAAGTTCAATTTTTTCAGAGAATAAGAGTGGGCAGGCAGACTGTATGAACAGTGAACAAATTTACTGGCTACTTACTCGGATAATACCCCTGTTGGTGATACTAGCCATAGATGTTTACTGCGAAGGCTGGTTATATGCACTCTGCTTTATCGATTTGGATCTTGAACCGTTTGAAGAAAGTGCACGAGGAGACGACTGTTCTATCGCATAAAATCCCATTGGCACTGGGTTTCATGAGCACCGCCCAAATAAGTAAGCAAAGCGACTTAGATGAATTCAAGAAAAGTAAACCTTTTTGAGTACGTTGATTTGATTATTTACTGGGAGAAATGCTGACATATTAGGAGTTGAACTGTTTGGCAGAAGTGAAGCACGATCATTCTGCCTTGAGGACTGTGGGCGCAGCAGGTTGTGTTTCGCATAGATGGATCTTCTATTTTGCTTCTAGATATTGCCATTTTACGTCCTATCGATATGTTCTTAGCCCTTAACCAGTTTCCTCAGTGTTTGGGAATACAGTCTTCAGTGTATTAGCTATAGTTCTCGAATTTGTTTTTTTTTATTTAAAAACGTCCACAGTGTCCATTTTTGAATAGAATTATTCACACGTTTTCTCATGAGTTTTTTTTTGTAATTAGCGATGAAATTTCCATCGAACGAAGAAGTCTTAAAGATTCTTCACGTGAGCATGTCATACAATCACCATGTTCTACTCGGTCTCACTGTGACAAACGCGGCTTAGTATTTGATGCCTACTAACAGGTATCGTGGTAAAGTACGAAATGCAGAACATGTGTTGGGACTAAAATGGGCTTTCATATGGGTTACTTGCAATGAGTTCTTGAATTCGCTTAAACGTATTGTCTTTTGTACCGGATGCTGAAAGTCTGTAAAGGAATAGTTTTGCCAATAATTGTGCAGTTGATCGTTGAATAATTGCCAATTGCCTTATTGCTGGGACGGATACGAAGCTAACTTCATTTTCTGCTACTGCAGAAATGGCAGCTTAGTTCTACCCTAACCCACTGTAAAGTATATGTCGTTAAACTGCGCTTGAAACTACACGTCATCGGCAGTTTTGCCAGCCATACAGTCACATCTAAAAGTTTATCGAGTTTCACTTTCTGTGTTGTTTTCCAGTGAGATGGTTTGCTTGATAACTGATTACTTTTGTGTGTTTAGTGGAATCTTGTCTGCGACCGGAAGTGGATCAGATCGTTTGTGCAGTCCATGTACTACGTTGGGCAGTTCATTGGTTCGTACTGTCTCGGTACGCTGTCAGATAAGTAAGGAATTGCACGTCTGATGGATGATTATCTCTGCGCTTTCAAAAATACAGTTCTTGTTATGTTTTCTTTTTAGGTATGGCCGTAAAAAGATATTTTTCTTCGCCATCATGATACAACTTGCTTGCGGTGTGTCGATGGCTTTCGTTTCTTTCTGGGAGGTTTTCGCGCTTTTTCGCATAGGAGTCGGATTTGCGCATTCGGGAATTTTTATGATTGCCGTGGTGCTCGGTGAGACTCGTTTTCTGTTTGATCAAAATTCTTTAACTATTTAAGTCTGAAATTATATCTCTTCATGTTTTCATTGTTCATTTTAATTCAACGGTGACGGTCTGACCGATTGTCATTGTTAACAAATCAGTGAGTTGTGAGAAATGCATTTATCAAAAGATCAGCAAGTTCTAGTCGAGAATGGCGATAGAGAGCTGCACGTTGCATTTACATTCATGCCGGAAGAAAATTGAGAGATATTTATTTGTCTGTTTTAAAAAGTTTCTTGTATGCTTCTAAGGCAGTATAAAGTTTTGCCACACCGAGGTCCTGCAATGAATTTCCCTTGAAACTAAAGGCAAAGATGGCTGAATGGTAAATTTTAGCTCTGTTTGCTTCTAAATTAGTTTCTATGCTCTGCCGTTCCATTTTCAGTAAGTGTGGTAGGATTATGCCTCATTTTTAGGGATGTCTAAATTAATAAAACATCATTTTTGTTGAATTGCGTAGAAGGTTTCCGCTACAGGAAAAAATGGCTTGTTTCTGCATCTGACAAGCTTGATGTTTGGCTGTGATCCTGGATCCAGTTTCATTGAACAGTGTTAACTTAATATTGTTTTTGTGCAGCATGTGCGACCATTTGTAGGAAAGTTGTCCAGGGCTGCTTTATGAGAATTTGTATTAACGGTATCCAAGCATATAGTTCGTTGGAGAAAATTATGCAGTACATCTGTTTCTGTCTTCAACATTGTTACTCCATCGAAAAGCTAAAAAATGTAAGACTCCTTAAAAACGCAAAGGTACCTGAAATCGGAATCCTCATTTTTCATCGACGAGTCTAGTACGCTGTGTATGTGATTATCAAGAGTTGATGATGAGGAAGGGTAGGATGTTAACGACCATAACAGCGAATAATTTCTTACCCTGCTATACTGCGGATCGGTCATGAATGGTTCGCGAAGTACATCCTTAAGGAAAATGCATTTCTTAAATCGTCTTCAACAGTCATTCTGATTTGCATTACAACGCTTGTTATGAAGTTCGCTGCTGATGTCGGATACTTTTGTAGACCATAATTGTGTCCTCTTTATCAAGAGACTGCTACATAGTCTAAAATCTAAGCCACAATGAGGACATCTCGTTTTTTGCAGGACAGCCGTCTTAACTTCAGAAGGCATCAGCTAATGCCAAGTAGCGATCGTAGGCAACTGTTGATGCTGAATCTATCGAAGGATCATGACTTGCGTTGTATGATCCAAATGATATCAACGGCATTAAGATCTGTGTGCTGTAGCGAACCTTAAAAGGTCCTGTCAGTACCTCGGTAAATTTTCGTAGTTGTTCCGTCAATGTTTATGTGTTGCAGCAATATGGATCTTCTTCAAGAAAGGAGGCAACCCATAAATGCGTTTGAATCGTTTTCTTTCGGCAGAGCACTCGATTATGGACTAATTGACTAATCTCGACCGCTGACTTGCTCATAGATGCAATTAGAGATGCTCAAAGAATAAACGAACACTTTTATGATGTTGTTCTTTATATTTTATCTTTCGTATTGAACACTTTGGGACTGTTATCCTTTCTGGCAACTTTTCTTCCAGAAACAAAAAGAAAACAAAAAATTTATCTTCATTTTCAGCCACACAGTATAACCAGACGGCTAACTTCTAATGTGCCAATGCATTTTAGGAAAAACCTAGGTTAGAAATTGTTTAGGATGAACTGGTAAAGGCATAGCTGTGTTTGTCATGTATTCACAAATCATGAAGAAAGCCTCGCTGTATAATTGGCCTGCCGTCATCATTCGAGTCATTGGCAGGTGACAAGGCAGAAGTAGATGATGACTGGAAATCAGAAAGGCTGAAATATCATAATCCTTGGTCATATCTGATAAGCCAATTTAATGCACCAAGTTCACGTCATTGTTTTAGCAAAAAGCTTTTCGTAGCTCTCTCCTACACAAATATAATAATGTGTTACGCTTTTCCAGTACGCCATATTTTGATGAATGTTGGTCTTGTGATTTTTACAAGTGTGCAGCAGTCTAACCACCTTGCTCTCGTTTGGTGGTAATAAATAATTAAATAATAGAAATTCTGTCTTAAACCATACAGTACGTTTGACAGGCATTACATGCGTGACGTTTAAGGAATGGAATTAGTTGCTCCGAAACATCGCGTTCTTGCCGGTGTTGGGACCGGAATATTTTTCTCAATTGGACAGATCATTTTGGGTGCAATTTTCGGTCTTTTCACTTCGTATGAATATCTCCAGTTGGCGATCGCTCTTCCTGGAGTTCTATTCTTTTCCTACTGGTGGTAATCAATTTTTTTGTCTGTATTTATTGTCTGTTTATAGACTTGATTTTGATTGACTGCTACAGTTTCGTTAATTAATCTTTCACTTAGATTAGAAAATCTGAAATTCATCTTTTATTCCACTTTGTTATGATTCACACATGGATCATTGTCATGCTACCGGCCTCACCTTATCTACATTCGGCAAAGGATGTTCGATGGCTGGTTTGTCAGGGAGATTAAACAAATGATTCCATATACCTTTAGTAATCTGTAAGATACATGAACAGTACTGGATCGAGGCCCAGATGCTTTACTATTATCTAATCAGAAACAGTGGTATTTTGTTTCCGAGTCAGTAATGAAGTCGACGGTGCGAAGTTTGATCTGGTATCTTTGTGAAAAAAAAAAGAAAAGCTTTAGAACCTTTTCGCGGAGGAACTAGCTGAAGGTTAGATCATGAAGGCAAGGAAGCGAAAGCCTTAGGCGA